AAAAAGCGGGCGGTTTTTTTTGTCCCTCACTCCCCCCCGGCAACCCCCGGGGAAAAGCCAAAATGTAATGTTTCCCCCCCGCCGGTTTTTGATTCCTTTTGGGGGGAGTCTTTGGGGGGGGGAAACCAGAATGCCCCCCCCCCCCCCCCCCCCCCCCCTCCCAAGAAATGAACAGTCCTAGACACACCATCCAAACAGAAAAAAAAACATACAAGACACAGCCATACCCGCCTTCATGATCAAGTCGAAAAGCAGACACCGGTACTATAATAGTGTGCTCGTAATATACGCACGCGCAAAAAGCGTGGTGATCATCTCGCCGCAAAACCGACAAGCAATACGAGACAGCGCTTGGCATGGAGTGGCAGGCGAGCGGGGCAGCGGGCAGGCACGTCGGCAGTGTCACACCGTGCAGCCCGCCGCGAAATTCAAATAGAAAAATAAAAATATACCCACTTTCAACTAATTAATTTGCCCGGAACGCGAGAACCATGAAAAAACACGAAAAAATGGACCGTATGGACCGCGGCATGTCAAGGCGAAAACTGGGCGGAGGGGAGGGGGTTCCGTGGCGTGAAACGATGCTGAACAAGAATGCCTTCGAACCTGACCTAACAACTAACCGAGACACTACTGGAGAGGGCCAAGGTTTTTCGGCTGCCAAAAGCCTCCCGTCCCTCTCCCCTTGCTTACAAACGATCAACCGTACGTACGCGTATGATAGCTCGAGACAACGAGACATCCCAATTGATTTCACGTACACATGTTTGGTGTTTTGGGTACTACGACCGTTTCGGATCGGTTCAGTCATGGAGACCCCCCCCCCCCCATCCCCTGACACGATAAATGTGGGCAAATGTAGTCTACACAAGTTTTGGAGCCCTCCCCCCGGCCCGATCAAAAACAGACCTCATCGCGTCGTCTTTGGACTGCGAGCAGTGCAGCGGCAGCGGCAGCACGTACCCTTGGGACACACTTCGCGGGGACCTCCTGTCCCTGAGGCTGTTCTGTCAAAAAGGGGGGGGACTTTCTTCCCCCCGATACCCCCCCCCCCCCCTGCGTGCGCCATCCATCATTCATGGGGAAACTAAATCAAGAAAAAACCCAGGGGAGGGGGAGGGGGGGGGGGGTACTCCAGCCCACCCTATACCCCAACAAGCACGGCCTCTACCCTCGCCCTTCTCAACGACCGCGGCCCGACCACGAGGGGGTGGTGCCTGCGCAACGCAAAACAGCTAGCTATGTACCCCAATTGTAAAGAAATTTACACTCCCGAAAGAAATGTGAGAATAGACAAAAAGAGACTATTCCACGGGCGAACGACGAACCAACGGCGAAACAGAAAAATGGGCCAATCGCTAGGCTGGCTGAAAAAACAAACAAAACCCCCACACCAAGTATCATCAATGCCCCTCGTAGGGTCTGGCGAGGAGGGAGGCGGGTGCACATATACACACACACACACGCCTTTACTCTTGCATTTCCCCGTCTTCGAAAAGAGCGCATGCGACACATCTTGCTCCCCCACATCCTTTCCAAAGCCGGGCGGTGCATGGTGCGGAACCCCTCTCCCCTCGGAGCCCCCGTTTGATTCTTGGGACGAATGTCAAGCGATGCTGCTGCTGCCCGTGCAAGAGTCCAACAACGCCACCACACGCCGGGAACCCCCAAGACAACAAATCACACCAAAAACCAGCCTCTCATTTTGCGAAGCTCTCGTCTCGAGGGCCGGACTGGGGTGGTGGTAGGGGGCAAGCTCATCTTCCACCGAGATCTCCGACGTCGCATCAAGATTCCGGAAACAAATCCTCCGCGCAGATAGAGAGAGGGAGAGAAGAGAAACACGACGCAGCAGACGACAAGACCCACGTATCTCTCTCTCTCTCCGGCCGCCGTCGCCATCATCACCGATCACATCTTCTTGCCCGAGAGCTTCTCGAGCCTGGAGATGATGTGCTTGCCGAACGTGTACCTCTTCAGCTGCGCGGCGTGTGCCTTGATCTCCATGATGATCGTCTGTCGCTGTTCCTGGTCTGCCACATCGATGATCTTCTGAACCACGTAGTTGGCGTAGGGATCGCACACCATGACTTGCAGCAGCGATGTCCTGCGCGGGTGAGAACGTACAACAAAAAAAAGAAAGAAATAACGACGATAACAAAAAAAAAATGTGAAACCGCAGCAAAGTAGCATGTCCCGTGGGTGACCGTACAAAGCGCATCAAATAATAGCAAAGGAAACGGCGATACAAAACAAAATTGGCGATTATCAAGAGCTTATCCAATGGATCGGGCGGGGAAGAGGTCTCCGCATCACCTCTCCCAGCAACACCTTTACGGGAGAAAACAAAAAACAAAAGTACATGCGTAAAAGAGTATGCCTACCACATTTTACAACTCCTCCTCCTCCTCCGTTCTCTCTTGGAGTCTCTCTCCTCTCTCTTCCTCTTTTTTCTCTGTCTCTCTTCTCCCCCTTTCCCTCTGCATGCCTTTCTCTCCATCTCTCTCCCTCTTTTCTCTCTCTCTGACTGTGTCCCGCTCTCTCACCCATCCGAGTGGCCGTAGAGGAGGTGCTGTATGAGTACGCCGCGCTCCTCCTTCGTGCCGTACTGGAGACACTTCTCCACCACGTTCGACGCGAACTTGTGCTGGCTGTACGACAGCAGGTTCTCCTTCACCTGGCCGTTCCAAAAAAAAAAACAAGAGGTTCAAGACTGCTGCTTTGTGCCGCCACCCTGCTCTTTTCGACAGCATGCACCTGCACAGCATACAGTATTATTGTTGGAATCGTTGTGGACACCAGGGTTAGCGTTCGATTTTTTTTAATATTCTTTCTACTGCATGCAAAGCAAACCACAATAAAGAGTAGAGCCACAATATAACTTCACACAAAGGACCTTGAACTTCGTGACCAAAACGTATCAAGAGCAAAACCAAAACGGTGTTGACAAAAACATGCGGCGGGGTGGGGGTGGGGGTGGGGGGGCGACGCACCTCGCGCATGAGCCTTCCCCTGTCCGTGGGCCGGCCGTGCTTGAGCACGTGCTGGATGACGTAGTTGCCGTACTGGTCCTGTATCAGCACAGAAAACGAATCCTTGATCTCCTCTAGTATGACTTGCTTCTGCTCGTCGATGCAGTGCTCCAAGATGCGCTGGATCACCCGGCACCCGTACGCGTGCATCGACAGCTTTTCAACCTGCACGTGGCGCGCGTGTGTTTGCGTGGTTCATTAGCGTGGTCGCGCTGACCGGCTGGCCAACTGCTCAGCTTTGTCAGCCGGATTTTTGTAGTGAGCCAACCGAAGAAAATGAAAATTACGGACGTTTCTCTGTTGTATGTCCATCTAGCCTGTGATCACGGGAATCGCTCGGTGGAGTGTTTGATCAGTACGGACAGATGAAGGTACTGGGTAGAGAGACCGGAACGATTTTTTAACGCCAAGACAGCAACAGCAACAAACAACGACAACATCTTTCCATGTCGTGACGGAGGGGCGTCCCAAAGACGAACCTCCTCACAAGGATAACGTCGAAATAACCAACTTCTTTTCATTCCAAATAAGGTGTGTGGATAGATAGATAGATAAATAAATACGGTGTGTGCATAGATAGATAGATAGAAAGATACGTACCTGGCCCACGAAGCCGTCGATGATGAACTGTATGTGCGAGTGTAGGTATTGCCCCTCGGTCTTGGCCGTGGTGCTCACCACCTCGATGCACTTCTGCACCACGTGGTTCCCGTTCTGGTCCTGGACGCACTTCATCACCTGCATGCACACCAAACGAAAAAAATAAAAATAAAACAAGGGAAACCTTGAAGGAAAGAAAACAAAAAGCGAAACCTTGGAATCAGTCAACACACCATCAACATAAAAAAAATGAAAAAAAAAGGCAAGGCAAGGCAAGGCAAGGCAAGGCAAGGCAAGGCAAGGCAAATCGATGGCGGTGGTGGTGGTGGGTGGGGGAGGGGGGTGGGGAGAGCAGGAGCGCTTCGCCGGGTTTGATCGACTGCTAGTGCTACCTTCGTCTTCCCACCAGCAACGAGAGCGGGTTGACGGAGGCGGGAGGGCATGCGCCTGTCTGTCTGCGTACCGGTTTGAGGTCAAGTGCTCTCGTCGTCCTACTTACAGCAGTAGGCCACGCACAAGATGTGTCACCCTCGGGGCGGGGCATCACGATGGGTGCATGGGACACAATTATGTGCGCGTTCCACAACACCAGGCAGATCCAACAGCAATAAAATACCGTCACGTGTGTACAGTACAACCCACAGACGGGTCGCTGCACAGACTGGCGTATTTTCGTCGGTCAACAACAGCCAACAGCCTCCCTCCTTCCTCTTTTTTTATTTCTTCTTGTCTTCCGTTCCGTTCCGTTCCGTACCCTTCCTGCCCCCCGCCCCCTAAGCGTTTAACGTCCGTCTGGGTCATTGGGTCATCAACAAAACAACACAACACCTTACGACACAGCAGTACCTGGCCGCACAACTCCGAGACAAGCGTTTTTTTTCTTTCTCTTCCGTTCCCTTCCTACCCTCCCCCCCCCCAAAAGCGTTGAACGTCCGTCTTGGCCATCAACAAAACAACGCAACACCTTACGACACCGTACCTGGCCGCAGAACTCCGAGACAAGGGCGATGAGCGTGTCGATCGAAGAATATTCGAGCGCCTTCTGCACGACGCGGCACCCGTACATCTGAAGGGAGAGCTGCACCGCGTGCCCCACCAGGAAGCTCGCAAGGGCCTCCCGCTGGGCAGAGCTGCCGTTGTCGAACAACTTTTGCACCACATAGTTGCCGAACACGTCCGTCATTAAGCTGGGGGGGACGAATCAGGACGGGGGAGCGCGACCGGGAAAGCGGGGTGGGGTGGGGGTTCCGGGGAACAATACGAGTTTTGCACCACGCAGTTATTAATAGTTGCCGGACAAGTCGAGAACGACGGCCCAACGGCGAAACAGAAAACGGGCCAATCGCTATGGACTGACAAAAAACAAACAAAACCTCTACACGAAAAATCATCAATGCCCCCAGCCGGGTCTGGCGTGGCATGTATCTAGCCAATCGGGATATAGGGGGAGGGGGAGTTCCGTGAGGTACGAGAAACTGTCTTGTTCATCCGTCTCGGAGTTTCCGCGCTACATTCCTTTCATGCCACCAAGTGAACACCAAAAACATCATGGGAGGAAAAGAGAAGCAAAACACACACCAGCGGTGCGGGAAATATAAACGTTATTATTATTCACGATGGAACTTATTCGTACATACGGAGTACGTTAGAATCGGGGCACGGAGAGAGACAACAAAAAAATACTTTTGGGCGCACAAGTGCCTGCATACCACCAGTCGCATGCGTAGTCAGACACACGTACCCACTCCCAATTTGCATAAATACCAAACTTCCCATTACTCAGGCATGCACAGGTCTGCGACAAATGTCAAGAGAGAGAGAGAGAGAGAGAGAGAGAGATAGAGATGATGCATGCGAGTGATCGACAGAACGGCCATACCTCTGCGTGTGAGGAAGTATCTCGTTGAAGAACGCCTCCTTGTCCTCGTCCGTGGAGACCTCGAGCTTTTGCTGGATGAACCGAGACCCGTGCTGGTCGCGACAGAACTGCACCGTGTGCCCTGGAAAACCAAAACACACACACACACAGACCAGTGATGCGCGTACAAACGCACACACGGGTCACCAAGGGGGTGACAGACAGCGGAAACGTGTAGAGCATACGAGTACCGCAGACACCACCACCAAACCACCACCGTGTACAAAGCAACGGCGCAAACACACACGCACACAGAGAGAAACCATGTACGCCCGCGCGCCCTGCCGGACAAATACTTGACGCACTGACGCACACGCCCAATCGATGTCCAACAGGCGAAGGCGGAAACCTCACGGCTACAGCAGTACAGTAGACAACACGGACCGCCCCGTGTAGCACCGGACCGACACACAACGCACACCCGCGACGCCTTTCCCCTGACGGGGCCCCCGGATCCTAGGCTCAGAAGCGTTTTCGGCATTCAACCGCACTGCTTAGATTGATGTATTTTCATTGGTCGGTCGGTTAGCGGGGACGATGCTAGAAAAGGAAGAGACATGCACAACACACACACTCCCTGCGCAACAAGCAAACATATCATTTAGTCTTTCTGTGTGTATATTTATTGTTCCTAATAAAGGAAACACATCGAGTTCACAGCAGCATGTGGTGTGCTTTGGAATCACACACAGACATACCGGTCCAGACGCGCTTGGGCGCACAAAAAATCTGAAGTAACTCGGGATGATGTCCGCGAACTAACACCGGGGGAGGCGCAGAGAGCGTCTGCCGCATGCATCCGTTCAATCATCCACCGTGCCCCCCCCCCCCCCCCCC